AGGGAACAAGGGGAACAAAGGCGAGCTCTGGGATTTCTAGCCTGGGCAACCGAGTGCAGCCTTACCCAAGGTAGGCCTCGATGACATGAAAGACATCACTATCACCAGTCACCTACTAATCCTCCGTGAACCTCATAGGAACTGCTTAATGGACTCCACTACAACCCAGCAAGTGAAATGTAGAATAACATCCGGACATGGCACCAGGCCCCACTTATACCACGCTCCAGTAAAAATAAACCTCCCCGTCCAAATATAGAGTGGTGGGAAGTGTCATACTTTACAGAAGAAGAGGCAGTTATTTGGCATTAAAAATAGATACGTTTTGGCTTACTTGAAGATCTGGGCATGAGCAGTGCAATTCCCAAATGGAAACAGATGGATGGGGTGAGCCCCCCCTCAAGACTGACTCAGCTATTTAAAGAATCCAAATAGAAAATTATATCCCCTTTCTGGACCTCAGTTTACTCACCCGTAAGACAGAGAGATTGGACAAAAGATCCAATGTCACACTAAGCTCCAGCCCTCTATGAGGGTCAGAACTGGAGGCCAAGGCTAGATCTGAGAGCTGACAACCTCCTAAATCAAGGAGAGCCCAACAGATGCAGGGCGGGTTGGCCCCTCAGTTCACAACTTACTGCTGATAGGATCAGGCGTAGTTTTTCCCAAGGATTTTCAGAACTCACAAAGTTTTAAATCACGGGTTTGAATCAGACACATTGTTAATCCACAAAGAAATGCAAGCCAGGAAGTCCCCGGATGACTAGCTTGCCTCCTGAGGGGTTACCCTGATGGAACGGAGGGGTGAGGGAGTGTGTGTGGGAGGCGCTGCTGCGGTCCTTTCCATCACTGAGTCCCAGCGGCAGGCAGGCCCTTTTCACACATTCCCTTTAATCGGGCAAGGCAGGCACAGTTATATTTCACACGTGGAAGAATTGGAGGCTCAGAGAGGTGATGTAACTTGCCCAAGATCATTCAGCTGGAGGAGGAGGGAACTGGGTCCAAAGCCTGCATCTTTCCCCCTCGTAGGGCCTCTGCTGTGCTGCCTACCGTGTGGTGGGAATCCCTCTTCTCAACTCCAGGAGGGCAAAGGAAGTCATGACGAAAGCTGAGCGCCTCCGGGTCACTCAGGCTGGCAGCTGAGAAAGCTAGAAGCCTTTCATTTCCTAACTGATCTTCTTGCATTTTTATACCTTGAAAAATAAAAGACCAGATTTGCTTTAAATGATTTTATTAAAAATTGTACCAATGGATGGGGGGAAGATATACACACATACACACATATGCATGTGAAGAACATAAACACATAAAGCCAAAGGCTCTGTACAGTTTTTTTAAAAATGGGGCCCCTTTCTTCTTCCTCTCTCCCAGAGGCAGAGTGCCCAGACCCCAGGGCAGCTACCCTGGGGATGAACAAAATGCTACATTCTCACTGGGTCTCCCCCTGACAGCCCCCGTGGATCCAGGGATAGGGTAGAAGGCTAGCAATGCTCCCAGAGCAGGGAGGGGTACTGGCCACCTGCAGAGAGAGGGGCAGTGCGGGCCTGGCAGCCAGCACAGGGCTCTGAGCACCTTCAGCTGGGAGGTTGGCTGGGCAGCTGTGAGCTCAGCTTTCTCCATTATTCCCTCAAGACTCAAAGTCCCCACCTGCCCTCAGGTTGCCTAAGGGTGACAGGTGAGTCCCTTCCTGCTAGGGTGTCTGGCCAGGATGGCCTGCTTCCAAGTCCTCACCTTCACACAGAGAGCTGTCTCCAGGCCAGGCCAGCACTGATTTGCAGAAGGCCTGTAGAGCCATGGTGACCAGTCTTCCTGCTTCTTCCACTTCCCTTCTCCCTACCCCACCTCCCCATCAAGTCCCTCACAAAGCAGCACTCACTGCGGTGCTCCCTGCTGTCCAGGACAGTCACAGTGGCTCCACAGCACTCTTCCTGGGAGGCCCTGGCAGAACTGTCCCGAACAACCCCCAGGCAGGAGCCACCTGCGATGGGGCTGGGCTGCCAGGGGCAGAGACGGGGCAGCTGGGCCCCTCTGGCCCTTGAAACAAGCCTGCCACAGAGCTTTGAACACAGACCTGCTCCCCGGGGGCTGAGGGAGGCCACTGGGAGGTGATCTTTTTCCACCTCGGACTGAGCAAGAGGAGGCTGCCAGGGAGCAGCGCTCCAGGGGCCCAGACTTTGAAACAGGCCAGGCAGAGGCCAGGCTGAGTCCTCCACCCTCACTGCAGGAGTCCGACGTCTGGCCTGGGGAGTTCCCTCACCAGATCTGTCCACCAGCTTCTAGAAACCCCTGCTTTGGGGCCGTGAATTGGTAGGACTGTTTTGACCCCGAATATCAGGCTTCCCTGCCTCCCAGGCATTTCTTCCATGAGGAGGGAGCTTTCCAGGCCCTCTCCCAACCCCCACCCTCAGCAAGCCACAAAGCCTCCACCGTCTTCAGCTGGTTACAGGTCAGGATCCAGGTCAGACTCTCCCTCCCTCTAAATCTGATTCTCCACCCCTCGCTAGAGACAGCCAGGCTCCTGGGGGTGGAGGATGGAGTCTGAGGGGGTGGAGGTGGGGGGGAGGGGCAGGTCTCCTGAGGCTAGACTTGAGGAATGTTTAGGCCAACTCAACAGGCAGAGGAGGAAGGGGCCAGTCTAGATCACTAAGCCAATTAAAAACAACCAGCCAGAAAGAACCTTTCTCCTTCCTGACAGCTACTCTGCCAGCTACCTCCTGGGTTGTTTTTTTTTTTTTTTGGTGGGGAAGAAGGGAAAAGTGAGGGGTGTAAATTTTGCCCTGGCTTTGCATAATACAGAGACAGTGCAGTCAGACCACCTTCCACCTGCCCCAGGCTTGATGTTGAGGTGGGTTTGTCAAAGTCGGGGCTCAGTTCTCAGGCCACGGGGCACCCAGCCTGGGCCCAGCAAGGTCTCTGAAGCTGATGGCCTTGCCTTAGCACCAAGATCTAAATCGTTTTCTCTCTCACTGAGCTCAGGTGGAGAGTCTGCCAAGAGGGGTGAACAGTGGCTGCTGTAAATAACCCCGGTTTTTTGGTGTGTGCCACTGAAGCATACGGCAGCAGCCTGCCCGTCACCACCTTGATCCAGGCAGGGGAGAACAACATATGTCCCATACACATCATAAAATGGTATGGAGACCCACAGGGAAGGCCGAATTCCACAATGGCCAGCGTGTCCCCGAGCCAGTCCTCACGCTGGTCCCCGGCTCCTTCTCTGCGTAGCAGGAACCCGTCTTCTTAGCAGACAAATCATGGTACACACCCTGAGAACAGAATTCTGACCAAGAAGAGGTAATAATATCTCCAGAATATCTGCGCAGAACAAAACAAAGGCTTACACGCACAGTTTGAGGCCCTTCTCCTCCAGGGTGCTGTGAGCCCATATGGCACCTTTGTGCAAATCAGGAAAGGCACCCCTTCTTCTTGGGAGAAGTAGCCCCACACCAGGGCACACAGCTTAGTGAGCAGAACACAAGCTGAATTCCAGCCTCCATTAGCTCTCTCTGCAGGTGCCCTTGTGCAGTGAACAACCTGCACAACTGTACATCCAGAAGATCAACGTCTCCTTCAATAGTACTGAAGACCTCCTCTCTTCAGAACAGGAAGAGCTTGGGCTTGCTCAGATTTGAGAGTCTGCTCTGGACTCTTCCTATGTCCTTGGGTAGCCCTGAGGTCTTCTTTGTCCAGGGAAGCCGTCTTTTCTTTGGGCCTTACTTCACTGTTAGCACCAATGTTGTCTTTTCTCACAGATGCAAAAGTTATAATTTAGTTTCCAGCGTCTGGTTAACAGATTCCCTGCGCCTGCTATTGGAGCTGCCACACCGGCTGCTTTAGATCCTCTCCATAAGTGCCGCAGCAGGGAGAGAAGGGAAGACACGTAGAGGCAGCTGTGATCCTGCTGCTTCCAGAGCAGGCCCTTCCGGCCTAGCTGGAAGCTGGAGGAAGACAGGAAGTGTGTACCCAGCTTTGACGGTTCCCCACTCTAATCATTATCTGTGACTCTCAAAGTCACTTCTCAGCTGGCAAAGCCACTGTCCTGGCTTCTTCTGTGTCCCCCTAGGTGTGAAAAATGATTGGGGATGAGGGGGAAGAGGTATGTTGTTTCCAAGGAAACCAAAGGGTCTGGGGTCCTCTAGGGCTGATTCTTACGGTGGAGCGGCCACCACATTTTCCAGCCCCACTGCAGACCTGCCCCCTGATGTCCCTCGGTGCTGATGCTGGGGGTGGAATGCGGTCTGTCGGTGGGGTCTTTTGAAAGAAGAGCCAACGAAGGCACAGGCTGCCGGCAGCAGCACGCTGACTGGCTATTCAGCTCATCCGTGGCTGACACCCAGCTGGTCCCAGGCCGCCAGTGGTGGCAGGGGCTCTGTACCTCAGGACCAATCCTGGGGCCTCCAAGGGGGACCAAGTCAGTTTTGAGGCCTAGCCAGAAGTCTGGTTCATTTTGCGACATGTGTGAGGGGTCCTTAGAGAAACCCAACCCTCCCTGAGGTCTGACAGGAGCTGGCCAGGAATCCTTGAGCCCTTGGAGCAGGTACTGGCTGGGGCAAGTGACAACCAGACAGATGGGCAGCTGGCCGGCCAGCCTAGTGAAGCTGCTATCCTCAAGTGGAAAGCCCCTGGCCGAGGCCCTGCTGGGTTAAGGCAATGTGCCCATCAGGATCATGGTCCCCATCCACAGTGGAAGGCTCAAAAGTGTGGTGGAACTGGGAGTCTAATCCACTCGATTTCTTAACTGAGTTCCTCTGGAAAAACCACAGTCCACTTCCCAGAGAACATCACTAACGGATCATCTTCGACAACCGGTAGATTCCTCAGTCGAAGAATCTACTTGTCAGAGGCCTTGGGAATTCTCACCATCACAGACACATCAGCCTCCCCTTCAACAGGGTTTGACAACGGCCCCATTCCAGGTCAGGGGCCTGACAGAGAAAGAAGGTCCCACTTCAGTATGTTGTATGTACACACAGGGAGAAATGTAAAAAAATTAAAACGCAAAATAACCACAAAAAAACAACTTCACAAGACACAGTGTCAGTCCTGCCCGATGTCCTTCCTGACGGTGTTCCTGGCGCCCCATGTGAAGAGGGCAGCCCAGCCTCACCTAGGGCCCGCCCCGTTCCTGTTCTCTTCTCCATTCAAAGCAAGGTTGTGCAGGAAGAGGAGGATCTGCCACCACACGCGATTTCGGTTCTGCTGGTGCTGAAGGGAGAAAAAAAAAGACCAACATAACTCCCACACACAACCTTAGACGACTCCCTCTCATTTCCAATAAAAGTTCAGAGCTCCAAGTCTCACGGCTGGCACTTTAATCCTATCAGTACAGCTCACAGCAGGGAGAGGGGGAGGCGAAACAGACACTGCCATGTGGAGGAGATAGTAGAGTTCTCCAAAAACAATTGCAGTTTTAACATTAAAAAGAAAAGACTAGGCTCTATATGCACTATGCACAAGAGGATTAAGCTTTTTCCCCTGCTTGCAGGATTTTCCAGAGTTTAGCCAAGTGCTGCTTTTAATCAGATTGGCTCCCGAGCCCCTCAAACCTCAGCTGCATGAACAACAAACTGGCTTCAGAAAGAGAAGAAGTGCCCCCCTCTCTCCCCCGACTCCAGAGTAACATAGAGAACAAGGGGGAAGGGGGGGCCTCCATCTGCAAGTGATTTGACACTGTGAAGGTCAAAGGGTTAATCTTCAATTTAAACCACACTGCTGAGGCAGCAAAAATCTGATTTCATCCAGTGCAAACACGCACACACACAGACTCTCACACACACACACACACACACACACACACTCTTGTGCGCCCGCCCGCTCTCCCTCTCCAGCATCTCCAGCTCGGTGCTGCCCTTTTTATAGATGCTCTTGACAGTAAGCCATAAATAATCCCTCTTGGAGCGCTCTCCTACTGACTGGAGCCAATTAAACGTTAAGCAAGAACATACTTGAAAACAAAACAAAAACAAAGAATATATACTATGCTCTGGAGGTTATCCCAGGTCCTACTGTCAGGCTGGGAAGCTAGGGGCAAAGTTCAGGGGTCAGTGGCTCACCAGATTGGGGCTGGTGCCCTGCCCACGCAGGTACCATTTCCCAGGAGAGGCCCGGGCGGGGCGGGGGGCGGGGAGGAGAAACTGAGGGGTGCTGGAAGAGGCGGTCTTTGTTCTCTCTTTGTCTGCCAGGGCAGGAGGACTGGGCGGGGGCCTCTCCACAGGGTTCTCAGTGGACAGGGGAATAAAAACCTAGTGTGCAGAAAGGAGCCAGCACGGGCTGGACTTGGATTACTTCAGTGGCCCCGTCAGCAAGCAAGTTTACATGAGGTGTCTGGGGGAGCTGGAGCCCTCCCTTAAACTGTCTTCAACCACAGCACCAGCCCCCACCAGGCAACTACTCCGGTCAGATGGGTAGAGGAGAGAAGAAGCCAGTGGCACAGCTGGAAAGGGGACCCAGGTTGCCTGGACTCCCAGAGCTTCCAGGTTCCGTCCAGCCCCGGCCTCCCTGACCTCTCCCAGGGCCACCATGCAGGTTGCCGGCTTCCCCTTCATGCTGCCCTAGGCCACAAAAAGAGAGGCATCCAGGCAGCTGGCCTCGGGCCTGACAACCCAGGTGAACACAGAATGCCCCGGTCCATGGCAACGGCATTCCTCCTTCCCCCGTGGAAGAGCCTGGAAAACAAGCCAGCAAACTGGAGGCACAGCTCCTGCTTGGAGGGGAAGGGAAATCGGGCGTGCCACAGAAGAGGCCTGGCAGACAGCGGGTGGGGAGATGGATGGCTTCCTCGTGTTTTGTAAACAAAGATGAGTAAAAAGAGGAAACACACCCGGCTTAACAAAATCTGGTTAGAGTAAAACAGCGTGAAAATGGACTCAGCTGCAAACCCGAAGCCTCGGGCCTGCGGCAGCTGGGCCAAAGACCCCCTCTCCTCCCCTCCCCAGCTGCTGCCCGAGACAGGTGCAGAGGTCATGTGGCCGAACAAGAGAATCCAGGAGCAGACTCAGCCCTGGAGAGGCCAGTCTGCTGGAATTCCAGAGCTCCTCAGGTGCTTGTCTGAGAAGACTGGTGGCAAGAACAATCATCACCATCACGGTAACGTGGGGTAGGCGGCAGCGGGGGGTGGGGAGGAGCCAGGCTCTGTTCTGTGTGTTCTGCATCCTTGCTTCTCAAAGGGTGGTCCATGGACTAGCAGCCTCGGCATCATGAGAGAGCGGCCTGGAAACGCAGACCCCGCATCGGAAGATTCCCCAGGTGATTCTGAGGCACATTATCATGCCCATTACGTAGCTACCACACAGCTAGTTTAAGTGGCAGGGACTAGACTGAACCTAGGCCATCTGGCCCTAGAGCGATGTCCCTTCCCATTATCACTGTGCTCAGAGTGCCACTACCTTTCTTCATACAAAGCAGACCCTCTAGCCTCCCCTTCACTAAATCATCTCAAAACAGCTCAATGGCCAAGGAAAGCAGGTGAGAATTCTATGATTTGGGGCTGGGGCGATTCCCATCTCTGTATGTTTCAGTTTCTCCCAAATTTCACTAATGGAGGCCATCTACTGCCCAGGCAACTTGAGATCTCTGAAGATGAGGCACAGACTCCATCATCTGGGAGTGCTGGGGGACTGAGAAGCAGCTGTGGGCCAGAGAGTGCTTTCAGACAGGAAGACTGAGGTCCTGCGGGGGACCCAGGCAGGCCTAGGCACAGGAAGCAGGGTACATGGCTGGCCCTTGGGAAGCATCTAGTTTCCATGCCTCTGTGTGTGACAGTCCTTAGGGCTCATGAATTGGCAAGGAAGGCTCTATGGTGTATGGATCCCCAGGGACAAAGAATCAGAGGACCTGGCTTTAGAGGTGGATCTCCCATCAACCTGCTCATGAGTTCCCTCTTGGCTTATAAGGAAAATGCAGGTATTGTACTAGATCAATGGTTTATAAACCCAACTGTGTCACTAAGCCAGCTGAGGTGCTGTTATAAGTACAGTCTCCAGGCCTCTCCCAGACCCACCGGGTCAGAATTTCATGGACGGGTCCCAGGAATCTGTGTACTGAAAAAGCTCCCTGGGTGACATTTTAGAGATCAGAAATCATTTATTGTGTATTTTAATCATACAAGCAATACATGTTAATTGTAGAAATATTGGAAAATACAAGACATTACAGAGGAGGAAATAAAGTCACTCATGATCCAACAGCCTAGAAGAAAACACTTCACGTGTTGGTGTTCTCTCCAGTGCCTTTTGATCTCTTCCCACCAAAGTAATGTCTTATCCATTGGCCAAGCCAAAGGTCAATCCTGCCCAGGTGGTTCTGTGGCAGCCAGGCCACAGCCTTTTGGAAACCACAGAGGTGCTCTCCAACCCTAAGGAGTTTGTCATCCACAACTACCTTCAGGATTATAACTCAGAGCTCCAACAACTGAATTCTGTCAGCCGGGTGTAGGGCCTGGGAACCACCCATGGGCCCAGGAGCCCTCTCTTGACTATAAGCAGATACCACACAGGCTCCCTCTGGCCTTCTCCTGCCTCAGGGCAGCCCTCACAAGACCCTTTTCCACGAGCAAACCAAGAGAATCAAAGAATGCCCTGATTACAAAATACAACAATAAATAAAATCTTTCCTAAAAGTTTAACAAAAGGGCCTGACTAGAAAGGAAAGCAAAAGGGCTTGAAGGGAGGCCAGTGGGAGAGACGGTGAGGAGGAAGGAAGTCGGCCTTCACCGAACAGGACTAAGAACACAAAGACACCAAAACACCAGAGAAGGTGGGTCCTTCCACAGGAGGGTATGGAGGAGAAGGGGACAAGGAAGGGGAACCAGGAATGAGTGCACTTGGCCTCTGCCCCTCAGGCACCTGGCACAGCACCCGGTGCACAATCTGAGATCAACGAGGGCAGACCCGCAGAACCAGGCCTGCTCTCCTAGACTCAGCTAGGGCACCCCTCACAGAATGGGGGTTCCCAGAATACACAGTCGGGGTGACCCAAGGGTGGGGGCTGGGATACAGGGGAGCAGAAGCTCACCCTAGAGCCCTCAGACTCACATGATTTAGAAGCCAGGGCCAAGGCATGGAGGGAATGAACAGAGGCCAACGCCCCCAGGGCAGGCGTCCTAACATGGTAGATCACAGTGTTCTCTTCAGTGAAGAGAGCGCAACCAGGCGTCAGAGCCCCGTGCGCCTTCTTTGGCCCAGTCTCATTTTCTTGCCGTGGTCAGGGGATGAAGGCAGTCAGCTGACAAATGTTTCCATCCCTACTGTGTGCAACACCCTATGCCTGAATGCACAGCTGCTCATCCTGTATAATGGGGAACATGGAAGGCATACAGTAGGCACTCAACAAGGGCACGCTGGACCGACTACAGAGGAGTCAGCCCTGAAAGATAACCCACTTGTCTGAGGCCAGCAACAACTGATGTCTGGCCAGGTCTAAAGATGTACTTTCTGTGATAGTATCAGCCTCTCACCTGGGGAGAGGCCCAACTAGTAAAAGGCCTCCTTTTTTTTTTTCTTTTTTTTTCCCTCTAAAGAGCTGGCTGTGGCGTCTGACAAGGTTGGACTACATAAATCAAACTCTGTTTCATCCCACACAGCCTCTGCCCTAAGCACAAAGCATGTTCCCTACGCTCCCTGGATAAGAATCTCCCTCTGCCTCTCCCCCTTTCAGATCCAATTCACACCCTCTGGGGGCTTTGTGTGTCACCAGTGCTCCCGATGCTCCAGCTAGAGCTAAGTCACCCCAAAGCATCAGAGGAAGAAGCAAAGCAAAGCCGTGTGCAGCTCTAAAAGAACCTAACTCACAAAATGCAAATTTACCAAACAGAGAGCAACTTATAATATCTGAGATATAGAACAGAGCACTTTCCTTTCTTCTCATGTGATCCTCACAATAGGAAGAGCAGGTATTATCAACCCATTCTAGAGCCACGGAAACAATGGCTCAGAAAAGTCATCCCAAGTTAGTTGGGAGGGGTGTTATTTGAGGCTCTGACTTCTGACTCCAAAGCTATGTTCCTTCACTAAAATTTTGCAGTGTGTTTATTCGCATTATGAAAATTGTATTACCTTTTCAAAGCAAATCACCACTGATCTGCTCCCCTAGTATATTTAAAGACATTGTTTCCAGATCATTAACTATTTAGTAAGGATGCTGTAGACCAGAAAAAAATAAACCTTTCAGAGGCAGAGCTAACTGAAGATCAAACAGAAATAAAGCTA